ATTTTATTTGTATGTATAGATGTATAGATTATTATTTATTTATTTATTTATTCATCCAAAATAATACAAATTGTGTAGGATAACGTAATAGTAACATTACAGTAAAATTTTGTCAACAACATAATAGCAACTTAAATATTAAATCTCGGTATATCTATAGACTAGCTGGCCCCAGCGACTTCGTCCGCGTGAAATTTTATTTTATTTTTCTAAAATAACAGTAGCGTAAGTTACTCCTTATTACATCAGCTACTTGCCAATAAAAGTCCCGTCAAAATCGGTCCAGCCATTTCAGAGATTAGCCGGAACAAACAGACAGACAAAACTTGTAAAATATGTTATTTTGGTGTATGTACCGGATTTATATTCATATGCAAGTAGTAAAAACGGTTATTTCAATATTACAAACAGACACTCCAATTTTATTTACATGTATAGATGTATAGATTAAAAAAAAAGTAACAGTCATAAGGCTAGTCGTATGCCTAATATATATAATAATGTAATAAATTCATTTAAACAGAAATTGCGGGAACATTATTTAAATTTGTAACTTTTTTACTGTCCTTCTCCATTTTTCACATCTTTCTGTTATATCCCTATAGTTCTCTCTATATTTTCTGTTTTTCTTACTTTCAATTTGAGACTGTACTTATAATTTGATTATCAGATCATTATGTATTTATTAGATATTAACTATTATATTATGCATAAAAAATAATCGTCATAATCAAGAAAATACAATATAAAAAATTTTAATTGTTGTGTTAGTTATTTATAAGATCTTACTATAATTGTTAGCCGCTTTACAATTTAGAAAGTACAATAGGTAATGTAAATTAAAATTAATTGAATACTTAACAACGTTTTGTTCGATTAAATTAATTTAATTATTAAAATAGTTAATTTAAAATTAGAATAAAGACAAAAAAAAAATAACAAAAAAAAATCGGTGGCGGGAATCGAACCTTGAACGTCCGTTTGGTAAGTTGATTTGAAATTCAAAGGCTTATTTCTTCGAAATTACTGGTTATTTTGAAATAATACTTAGGGTTCGCATACCCTTATCGGATACTACTACTACACGGAGTTTCGTCAAAATAAAATATCTAGGTTAGGTATAATAAATTTATAATTAATAGACCGTTACGGTATCTGTATATATTCGGATCAAAACAAGTACTATGAAATAAGAACGAGTATATAAATTGATTAACACAAGTAATTGATTTTTGAAATATATTCAGAGCCAAAAAGTCTTGTTTCTTTATTTATGTACTTGTTAGATGCGACAGCGACTTTGTTTTATACTATACTATGTAATGATTGATATACCTAAAATAAATAAAATATCTGAGGTTTGGACAAAAACTCAAAGGGTAATTTATTTTGAAAATACCTATTTTGCTTTTAGTGTTATAGTACTTTAACTGTTATATTTTAAGTAACAATGTTTAATTATAATTAATACTACTGCACCAACACTCCGATCGTGCAAAAAAATTTGCTGTTTCATTATTTTTTAGTTCAATTAGTGGTCTACCTAAGTCCTGGGCTAAGGGGGGGAGAGTCATGACGCCCCCATGACTCCCATGACCTCCATGACGCTCCCCCCTGGATCCGCCGTTGCGTCTTCTCTTTATTCGCTTAGTAACTTTGTTACAAAAGAAAAGATTCCCGTCCAAAAAATAATAAGTATTGAGGTTTGATCTGGAGTCACGTTACTCCAGACTGATTTCTATAAATATTTAGATTAGATAGACTATTATTCTTGAAATACTAGCTAGACATTATTAAGTTACTGTAGCCATAATGTAGTAGCCCAAACGTGCCAATGAGGAAGCCCTTGGCAAATGCTGCACCCTGATTGGCCCGTTTGAATTGGATCAAGAACTGCTCGTATGCCAAAAAGGTGGATTTGTATAAAATCGTGTATAAATCGCTTAATTATTATTATTACTCGTCGTGACAGTTGTGGCTCAAAACGGATCAACATTTATATATGGTCATCTGGCATTAGATCAACAAAAGGCCTCCGGATCAACAAGTGAAAAAGGATCAACAAAAAACTACCTATACGGCACGTCTGAGCCACAAAGTGCCCAAGGGGATATTTATATATATATATATATATATATATATATATATATATATATATATTTAAAATAAGAATTACAATAACGTCTAGTAATAATAACGAGAGTAATTAAAATGGATGATTAATATGGAAAAACGTTTTCTATCAATGTAAATAACTAATTAAATATTAAAATAGAATTACAGATCATTGTAAGCATTATTAACTGACTATAGATACAATAAATAAAATAAGCAACGTCATTACGCAGGCAATAATAAATGATATACCTAGCACTAGATTACTATTAATTATCGATTTAATTTTTAATAAAATCGTTACCTTGACATTGGTATTCTTAAATAATACCGAAATTATAGCAAATTGATATACATATTAAATTAACCATCAACAGTATACTAAAATGACTAAATAGTTTGACAATAATAATAAAATTATATTTCATTTGCAGAAATTAACGTTACAGGTAGATAGGTATGGTATATAAGGTGTACAAAGAGTACGGTGTTCTGGTTGACGAACTCAATATTCTTACGAAATCAACGAATGCTGCCAAGATTTCTTTCAAAAGCCAACGACCTACACTAGCACGTTATGCGCTGGTAAATATAAACTGAAAATATATTTTATTTCAAACGTTTACGGTCTAAATTTGAAAATTGTTGATACAGATTTTATGACACAAATGAGAGTCCTCTGTACTGATGACTGACTCAAAAGATGGATGATTCGTACTTGGGTTTGGTGGAAAATTTAACGAGCCGTCCACATATAACTTTATTCTATAATTGAAATTACGAAAATAAAATTATATTATTTTTATAACTTACTTTTAAATACATATCAGATATTCTTTAGGCTAAAGACAGAGACTACGTTGCCTTCAGAGTTCATTGCATCTACATTTAATTATTTTAATGTACATTAGTGCTGTTAATTAACTAGGTATATTAGGCACTAGTCATCCAGTAGTCTCTGAGGCGATAGGTAATTAAGTCTACTCTATGATGCCTAGTGTTTAGCATAGATAGATAGCATTACCTAAAAAATAAAGAAGGCTATCGGGTAATGAACTTTGCATAAATAAATAACTATCAATCTTGTAAGATAAGCCACTTAATTTCATTTAAAATTCATGGTTGATTTTTATTCACATCGTTTTGTCAAGTTGGTACCTACTCACTAATCAGTCCGCAATTGGATCGCAAAGTGGGAATACCCTACGATATCAAGGCGGCAATATATTCGGCGTTATTTTTTTTATGTTACTGTAATAATATTTATTACTAGCAGTGCCCGCGATTTCACTCGCGTGAAATTTATAGCGTTATTCTGATATATCTGAAGCTATATTACTATAAAGTTTCATCAAAATCCATTCAGTAGTTTTTGAGAGAAAGAGTAACAAATAACAGTATCCATAACACAACATCTGCTTTGTTTGTCCTGAAATATTATTATTATTAAAAACGTTAACCGAATTATACTATCTTATAAAACATTTCCTGGTCAGTCAATTTTAGTGAGTTGCCTGCCTAAGATACGTAACCTATTTTATAGGTAGTAGTAGTAGTAGTAGTTTTATAGCATTATTAATATTCAACGAATTTAGGTAAATTCTAGGTTTTCTATGTGCCATAGAATAAGTAGTTTAGGATCCATATATGAATTATTTCTTAATCGATAATAAAAATGTTTTGCATATTAATTTTAAATTTTTATTTTGTCCTGTTACCAAAACCGGCTTTATAAAACCGCTGTAGGTACTTTGTTACTATATTGTTGTCATAATTGCTCAATAGTGTATATATAGCGATTGTTAATACTTACTCATATGCTATATATACAATATTGAACAAATATGCATACAGGACTTGTTAAGAACTGGTCATATAACCTATGCTTCATTATGGCAATGATATTTCAATTTTAGAGCGAGATAGCTATATATACTATCACTATATCTACCACGTAACCAAATGCATCAATGAATTGGAAACTATAGAAAGATATAAACATACGTCATCAATAGGTAAATAGTAGGTAGGTAGTATAGTAGTAAAATACTACCACTATCCAACCACCTTTGTAGTAGGTACTATCTATAGTTAGGTTACGTATAACCACACGAATGACGTGCACTGGATACGTACATATAGTAGGTACCTACATTTTATTTTGGGTGGTTATCCATTAATTTGTAGTTTTTTCTAATTTGTTACCTATAAAGAACTATGTTAAGAACTTAGATAAAAGTCACTAGGATAAAACCTACTTTAAAGCTATTTTATTTAAAATTTTTAAGCTTACGTTTATATTTTTAAATATTTCTGTAGAGTAAAATGTACAAACTGTACGCAGTGTCTACCTATAGCATCAGAACCTACCTGCGTTGTCCTAATTTATCTTGTTTAGAATTAAATTTCGTCCAATTTTAAATAAGCAGTTATACCTATGCATATACCTATCAACCCAGGTCTACAAAGTTAACTTCCCCGATATTATGTAGGTATGCAACAGCATTCTAGTTGGAAATATATAAAGTAGTTACGTTGTTAGTCTTTTCGTAAGGCATAATAATAATATAAGCTAAATATACCGAATTTAATTTACAATTTTAACAAATCATTTTCTGTTTCCTCTGGAAATCAACATTTTAACGATTGTATTTTTCAAACAAGACCGACAGAGCAAGGTAGATCATGGCCTCCCTACCCCACCTCATTTCACGTAAAATTCAAGGTTATTTGAAGTTAATTCATAGAATATATTTATCTCTCTTTAACTTTATGATTTCCAATAGCGCTATTGCAATAGTATGACGTTCGTGCGCAAACTTCAGTTCAGGTGCGCGGTGCCGTACGAGGGCCACGAGGCGACGCGCATATAGTTTTTCCTTCTTCCTCCTTCATTTTGTCGTCGGTGTTTGTACGGTGAACATTGGTGTACGCAGTACGTAACACGTGCTATAAATTAATTACAACCTTTCCTTTTCAAATTTATATTAAAAAATAATAATGGCAGACGCAGCCGTGGAAAAGAAGTAAGTCTAATTTATCTATTTCTGTCATTATTTACAAGTTTTGTGATTTTTATTTTTTGGCGGCTTCGGAAAACGTGATCAAAATGGCTTCCTATTTAACTGTGAAATTGGTGTTGTTTTATTAATTTACGGTCTTCTGTAAGCATTCCCTTATCAAACTAAGTTATTTTCGAGGTTTTGTTTGTGTTTCGCCAGTGTTTTGTTAAATTAAGAGTTTTATGTGATGGTTATTTCTTGGACGCTAACTTAGCTAAGTACACGCGGGAAAATATTCCTTCAGTGTTATCGTGATAGTTAGTCGAATTAAGGGAGTAAAGTAATAGAAGTAAGTTGTTTAAGTTTTAAAAAAAATATAGAATCGTTTTAAAGTAAAATAACTGCGTGGTTTCTTGTATTATAATATTACGGCGAAGTTGAATGCACGCCGGGCGACAGGCGCCAGCCCTCGCGCCCCTCGCTTCATCCAAGATGGCGTTGTATGCGCGGCGTGCCGGCGCGGCAGCGTCACCGGCGCGCGCTCGATTCAAAACGAAATCGTCGAGAATCATGTTTTGCAACACTGGTAGCAAGTCGGTTACATTATCGCGAGGGTCGTATGTTGTCATTATTTTATTTTTAACGCTTACGGCTTATTCCGTTACGCGTTTCACTGGAACGAGTACCGTATTCATTCAATAAAAATTCTGGTTGCTAATAATTCGTACGATCGGCTTCCTCTGTTGCAACTTTCCCACATGCAGCCTTGCGCAACACGTTGTTTTTGTTCCGGCAGACTTTTCCTTTTACACCGCCCCACATAGCCGGCGAGCGTTCACAACATCAAGTCGTAATGTATTGTTATACTCTGACTCCGTTACTGAGTGAGCATTACGTTATCTACACAGCATAAAATTACAGAAATACTGTTTTATTTTCTAATGAATAGCTAGATACATAAGTAATATTTAATTATATAGATATAACAATAGCTCAAAGCAAATAATAAGTATTCATATAATACATTTTAGTCATTAAATAGTCAAATAGTAAAAAAATAATATAAAAATATTACTTATAATAGTAATATTTTTATATTATTTTTTAACCCTATCATTCAATTCAAGGTAGGTACATCTCATCTGAAAACTTTCAAGAAGCTAAACTCTTTATAATTTTTAAAGACCATCAACTTATTGGTGTTTATGTTTAACATTAATGTTAGTTCTATACTTTAACTACTCATTTGATTCTGGTATGTCTAATAAATATGTATTACTCTTTTAAGTGATGTCGCACCTGAGGAAGTAACATCCACTGAGGTCAAAGAATCGCCAGTCAAGAAATCCCCATTGAAAAAGGTTGCAGAAGCACCAGAGAGCAATGGTAAAGAAGAAAATGGCAGTGGAGATGCTCCAGAAGACGCCCCAGCAGAAAATGGTGATGCGGACGAGAGCAATGATGCCACAGAGAATGGTGACTCCACAGGTATGTAATTGTAGTCTAATCTTTCACTTATGTACACATCTTTAATTCTTATGGATAATGGAGTGAAATTGGATTAAATTGATATTCTATATGGGTATGGTGTATTTTGTCCTTTGAATTTAACTTTATCTTTCATGAAAATAAAGCTAGCCTAAGTTACTCCTTATAAGATTAGCTATCTACAAATCAAGTCTCGTTAAAATCTATCCAGAGATTAGTAAGAACAAACCGACAGACAAAAATTTTAAATAATCTTTTTGATGGTATATACCATACATCAAAAAGATATTTTGGTATATTTAGTGAAAATAGTAAATTGGAATTTACAATATTTATTTTGTACATCTACAAATTTGATTACTACAAACCTTTGTAATAATCAAAATTTATTAAATATTAGTTACAATAAATATCCTGTAATTTAATAAATTCCTAAGTATATGTAATATCCCTAAATATCTAGCTGTAATATGTGCAATTACCTTCAAAACTATGGGATGATCTATAATAATTGTTTATCTATATGTATACACAATTTCATTAAAATCTGTTTTTATATATGTATGATGGAGATGTTTAGAATATGACATTGAAAAAACATTCTTCTATAATGTACACAACATTATAGAAAAGAATGTTTTTTCAATTATGCATTCGTTATATAAAAAATAAATAAACAGGTTTGTTATTGCATGACTGGATAAAACGGTAAAAGGTCATAATAAAAGTCAAGTTGTGTAAATAAAATATGCATATTAAGTATATTTCTACTTATTACTTTACAGAAAAGACTGGTGTGAAGAGGAAATCAGTAGCAGCAGATAATGGTGATGCAACTGAGAAGACCACACCTGAAAAGAAGGCGAAAGTAGTGGAGGAAGCGCCACCGGCAGAAGTGGAAGAGGCTGCAGCCTAAAACTTTGGTTCTCTTAATAAGCTTGGTTTACTGCAATGCACCAATGTTCATTAGGGCTCAACTCCCCCCAACTATACATATCCTTATTATAGGTGCCGTTCACACAAAGCCAAAAACCATAGATTTATATTTATACATACATTTATATGATATGATCTGATTATAATACGAGTTGAGCCCTTTTGTGACCACAATTAAGTTTAGGTTTATAATACATTGTGTATTAAACATACCTGTGAAGTACCTGTAAATTGTAAATTTAATGTAACTGTCAGGCTGTCAGTTGTGACTGGATATTGCATCGCAGTGAACTGACCAACAGTCGGTTTAGGTGTTGTATGCTGTTTTTTGCGTATTGGTGTCTATTTCAACAGACTCGTAGAGATGGGTTATTGAATTGATGGAAGATTACAATAAGTATTGGTTTTGGATAAAATATATTTGCCAGTAATAACCTACTGCCAAAGTATTCACCCAGTGTGAAATCAATTCACAATCCGTTCTGTGAACGACGCGATTTATATAAACAGCTTCTGAAAAACAAGGATTATAGATAAACTAAGATTAATTAAAATGATTAGATAAATAATTCAGTTGTAAATTTAAGTTAGCAGTTAAATGTCGCACATTCAAATATTACATAGGCATTATTACTTAACCATTTAAACATTCCTTTGACATTTGGTTATGGCTCACGTTGTGAACAATAAAAGGCGACTTTGTGAGTCGAGTGGAGTTTATCTTTACCTTATACAACGAGAGTACCTTAATTTACATTGAAAATTCCGTTCTATTCACAGAGAGCCATTTATTCGATTTGTTTTATGTATCTGTTCACATTGTGACACTAATTTTAAGATTGAAATTTAATTGAAGTTCAAAGTTGACAAGGTGATATTCATATTGACATAAATAATAACTTCAGCGTGCTATTTTTGTATTTGTATGGATATCTTTATTTTTCTTGCATCCTGTTTTTCTAATTTATTTTCATTTCTATTTGTATGTGATAGTTAACAAACCTCGAATGTAAGATAACAAACTTGTGGTTTATATATTTTCTTTACTTTCATATATTTTAACATGTGTTCTGTCGCTAGGGATTATTTCTAATATTAAGATTTTTGACTAACTTTTTCAGAATTGTAAAACCTGATGATTTAAACTTAAAATTTTGATTCAGAAGTACATTTTAGTATTAGATTATAGTAGCGTGTACAGTTTTAACACTTTACTTCTCTCACTTGTGGAGTTAGTGTTTGTAAAACATTTCTGGCAATAAAATAGTCCAATCTACTTTTTGTTTTTATTTAGATATTTGAAATAAATGACGCTTAAAGAAATTAAATATTAGGTGCTACAGCACTATTTGAGTTTGCTACAATACTACCTACATTATCACTATCGATAGTTATAAATTTTTTTTCTATTTGTTTATACAAACTAGAGCCGAGGTCCAGCCGTAAGGTGATATCTTTATATAAGAAGTGCACAAAGTTCAGTGTTATTCATTTTGCTAGTTATCTGCAATTTTTTGCAGTCCAGATAAGACATTACTTGTCTTTCGGAATAAATAGTCTTGACCGTTAAGGCGCCGAAAATACGCAATACATACTGTCAGCCATGTAGTTCGTCCGGCCATGGTATTGTACCATTATAATACATACAATTTGTTGTACTCAGCATTTTCATTGTAAAATATACTTATTTTAGTATTATGAAATACACTCGTTCATGTATTTGTGCTGCTTATTTTTTATGATGGTGAATATATAAATTACATATTTTATAACTATGTACCTATAATATATTACGTTTGGACGTAATGCAATGCCGTGATCCATACAAGTCAGTGACTACGAACATATCCTAACCATTAATTGAGAACTAAGGTCACCGACATAGCGTATTTGCAAGTCGAAGTGGCAACGGGCTGGTTATATCTGTCGCAGAATCCAGAACCGATGCTCGTTTGAGTAAGCGTTCCCAGTGGCATTCCTTGGGAAAGACCTATATCCAGCAGTGGGCTGATGATGATGAATTGAGATTGCATAACTTTTCGTCATAAAATTTAAAGTTATGTAGAAAATCAAATTATATTTTTCACATAGTTTTCAGTATTTACTATGATATTCCAATATTTATTTCACAATAAACGCTGATTTCTTTCGTATGAAAAGTTACATAGAAATCGGTAAGGCATTAACGCAAAATTTGCAAATTTAATACAGCGTTGCATTGGGTGGAAAAAAATACTTGCATATTATTTTTTGCGAATGTAGATTACACTTATCTATACTATATACATTGTAATATACCTTATCTTTGTCTTATCTTCACGACAACAAATGTTTGTATTGTAGGGGTTCGATCCCCCTACAATAGAAAAATATGTTTGCATGAGATGTAGATGGGTAACAGTTATGCTAGCAACAGTTTAGACTTAACCGTCATTTATTATGCGAAAGTTTGTCTATTTGTTACCTTTTCACGGACTAAACGGATCTTAATAAAATTAATGTATCACGAGAATAGACATGGGCTATCTTTTATATCAAAAAAGCAGAAGAGGACGCAGCTGATCATTAGTAGATTATATTTTTAAGAATAACAGTACAGCCAGTGCTATTTAGAAAAAAAAACTAGATGGTACGTAATATATTAATTTTCATTGGTAACAAGAGGTAACGGTTGTTCCAGACTCAACGCCTACCTTGTATGTTACAATGCGATTATGGCACATATTTCGCGGTGAAATTTCATTAGTTGCGCTTATTATTATTAAAACCGTTTTAATATCCGTAGATATCTTTGATTGTAATTGGATTTTTATAAATTCCGGTGTTAGAAATTGTATTCTTCACAACATCAAACGGTTTTATATGTAGAAGTACGGTGGGGGCTAGTTGTTTAGTATCACGATGTGAGGTCTACCTAAAATAAAGTCATTTATTAGTAACTAAGGGAGTATATTTGACTATTATTTTTAAATATAGGAGAATCCTGTGAAATATGGGAATATTGCTTTCACCATAACCGCCATAGTTGAGAATGCAACTTTTTTATATATTTTACCCACAGCGTAAGTAGTTCTGTCTGCCGATTTTAGCCGCCAAGCAGTTGCTTTGTAACATATGTTTTGGTTCAACGGTGAGATAAAATAAAATAACTTAAATAGGGGCACTAAGATGTTAGCTTAGCCTCCCGGTATAACGACGTATTAGGAATTAAGAAAGAGCAAAACTGATAGGCTATAGTAACCGTTTACTAAGAGAATGGCTGTAGTGAGAAAATACGTGCATATTTGGCTAATAATTGCTTGATATGAATAAATTATTTTTACTTTGACACATCAACAGAAACCCTTTTTATTTTAGGCCTTTGTCTATTTCGTATACTAATATTTAGATAAAAAGACATGACTCATGGTTTCTAAATATGCACGTGGTAGGTCATACAGGAAAAGCGAAATACTAAGTATACGTACACATTTAAAGTAATTGTTTAAAAATAACAATTCAAATTTTGAAACCGTCTTACCAATTTAATGACGAAATTAATCGATCCATGCTGATATAACCATATCCATACTACATTGAAATGTTGACATACGCCCACATTGCATGTGTACAAACATTATTAGTGATGAGCGGTGAACATCAATAACGAAGAGCGAATCAAGGCCGGACATCGCCGTGGTAACAAGACAGTACACACTCGGCCCTTGTACGGCACAAGTTAGCCCATTATTACTGAGCTACCCATCAAAGTAATCACCGGTCAATGGAACGTCTTAATTTCTGACCAACGTTTTAACATGATTGGAAAACTTCAAGATATGCTGCCAATATACACGATAATTCTATTTTCGCTAGTCCGTTTATCTATTACTCAAACGACGCAAAATATAAACGTTTGTTCGTAACATATTTACCTCCATTTTCCACGCTGAGATAAATTTAAGTGTTGGTTTTTAGAATTTTATTTTATTAACAATAACAATGTATTTACAGTGTTGATTAACGAAGAAAATAATGCTCTAGCTGAAAAGGCGTTTGAAGTCGCGAAAGAGTATGTAAGGCGGAATCCTAGCTTGGGTTTGGCTGTAGATCCGGTGATTGTGGTAGGAAACCGATCGGATGCCAAGAATTTTTTGGAAAATGGTAAATTGAAGAACTTAGTTGTTCGACATGTGAAAATTGTATAAAAGTGTTTAATATAAAATACATAATTGACTGTTAATAGTTTGTAGGAAGTATAACGACATGATTTCAAATAAGAAGACGCCACACGTCGTCCTAGATTTCACGATGACCGGCGTTGGTTCAGAAACTATAAAGTCGTTTACTGCAGCATTGGCCCTTCCAACTATTTCTGGATCATTCGGCCAAGCGGGTGACTTGCGCCAGTGGCGTTCCCTCAATCAAAACCAAACGAAATTTCTGCTACAAATAATGCCTCCCGCAGACATTCTACCTGAGTCTATAAGAGCTATTGTTATTAAGCAGGACATTACGAATGCGGCTATAATATTCGACGAACTTTTTGGTGGGTTTCAGTTCATACAATATTCATTTTTAGGAATGTAAAATTATAATGCTGTATACTATTTTCAGTCATGGATCACAAGTACAAATCATTACTTCAAAATGTTCCTACACGTCATGTTATAACACCGGTAAAAAGTTTCAATAAAGACGACATAAAAAATCAATTAAGAAGTCTACGCGAATTGGATATCGTCAATTTCTTCATCGTCGGCAGTTTGAGGACAATAAAAAATGTTTTGGACGCGGCTGATGAAAATCAGTATTTCGGAAGAAAAACAGCTTGGTTCGCATTGTCATTGGACAAAGGTGACATTAGCTGTGGATGTAAAGATGCCACGATTGTGTACCTGCGACCGACACCTGACGCAAAAAGTCGAGACCGTTTGGGGAAAATCAAAACAACATACAGCATGAACGGTGAACCGGAAATTACGTCAGCCTTCTATTTCGACTTGTCCCTAAGAACATTTTTAGCTATCAAGTAATTGACCTTTACTATTCTAGTGCTAGTGCTAGTGTATAACTATATTAAATTTAGTACAACGCGTGCAAGATACATTTAATTATAGTTTGGTATATTCCATGGATTTCACGTTTATGATTTTCCAGATCACTCCTGGATTCTGGCAAGTGGCCAAATGACATGAAATATATCACGTGTGACGATTACGATGGTAAGAATACACCTAACAGGACCTTGGACCTCAGAAGCGCTTTTCAAGAGGTGCGATGACACATTTAAACAGCTTTATCTTTCCATGGGAAATATTAAAAAAAATTGATTTCTTATCGCACTGGATGGATATTATTTAGCACTATTTCACTTTCAGGTGAAAGAGACGCCTACGTATGCACCTTTTTATATTCCTGAAGATGATCCAATGAACGGTAGAAGTTACATGGAATTCAGTACAGATCTCTCAGCAGTTTCAGTCAAGGATGGTGCATCTATAGGTAGCCGTTCACTTGGATCTTGGAAAGCCGGTCTCTCGAACCCTTTGTCATTGACCGACCCTGACAACATCAGCGATTATTCAGCTCAACTAGTGTACAGAGTCGTGACAGTGGAGGTAGGTTAATGAACTTGATATTTCAAATATGTCTCAATATTTTGCGAGTTGTTTGATTTATTACAGCTGAATATACAATTGGGTTTTACGTTGTCGAATGACGAAATTAACTATTTGCGGTACATGCACATACCAAACATATATTCAGTTTTCTTATTTAGCCATTTAAATTTAGATAAAATAATAAGTGTCAGTCATTAGACTAAATACCATAGCTAATATATTTTTAACCGACTCAAATAAACGAGGAGGTTATTAATTTGTTTATGTTACACAGAAATCCGTAATTTTTTATAAAATTTAAAACGTAATCCTTTATTGGCAAAATAACTGGAAAAACATGTCTTTCAATTGTGTTTACAGTCAATAGAATGAATGATGATGACGTTTAAGAAACTGTAATAACAAAAATGTTTATTGACGATTTAAGTCCTTTTTTTGTGGATCATTTTATAAAGTTGTATATATTTTTTCTAGCAACAACCTTTTATTATTAGAGATGACGATGCCCCTAAAGGGTTCAAGGGCTATTGTATTGATTTAATTGAGGAGATACGACAAATTGTTAAATTCGATTACGAAATAGTATTATCACCGGATGGCAATTTCGGCACAATGGACGAAAATGGCAAATGGAACGGGATCATTAAGGAGCTGATAGAAAAGAGGGCAGACATAGGTTTGACTGCATTGTCCGTGATGGCAGAGAGGGAGAACGTGGTTGATTTCACTGTACCGTACTACGATTTGGTAGGCATCACTATTATGATGAAGTTGCCAAGAACGCCAACATCCCTATTCAAATTCCTGACGGTCTTGGAGAATGACGTATGGCTGTCGATATTAGCAGCGTATTTCTTCACAAGGTAAATGAACTTTTAATTACGAATCTGTATTGTCGAAATGTTGAAAATTCATTGTTTCCTAAATGTAACGATTATTTCTTATTGTGGGCAATATTACAACGTTCCATAATCATTTTTATGTATAATACCATAAGAGCCAAATAAGGTTGGACGTAGCGTTGCCGGAATGAATAATACAATGCGCCATTACATTTTGTTTGTACACACATGCGCATATCGGTGTATATTTTAATTTAAAATTCGAATCTTGCTTTTTAACGTTCAACAGTTTTTCTTGCAAATTTATAAACCTATTAAACATGCCCGAATGGAATTAATATTTATTCAAAATGAATGATGAAATTAATATACCTATTAGAGGTAGATATTGTAATATTTTAAGGAAGGTGTTACATATGAATGTGGATGGTTACAAGGGTAGAGGAAGGCCGAAAAAGAGATGGATGGACTGTGCGAAAGAGGATATAATATTTATCAAAAATAAAAACTTTGTTATTTCTAAAAAACATTACGTCCAAACCGGAGCAGTTGACTTAAAATTTTAGGCCAATGTTTGAAGAAGTGTTCGGGATTACATAATAAAAAATAATATATTACAAAATTACATATTATCTGTAGTAACAGGAGTGTAAAGACCGTGACAGAGTAAAATATACCGATTTTTTTTTTTGTGCGTAACTTTGAAATTTTCTTTTTCTGATAACTATTATGACTTGGCCCGTTACCCGGTTTCGACTTGACGTTGACATCTGGGACAATCTGTGTAAGCGACGTTTGCCACTTATTAGGAGGGCCGTCAGTTTGTTTGCCATTCCACTTTCATAAAAAAACCAGTAGTATTTTTTTCCCTTAAATTTATACTAAGTCTTTTACCGGTGTGTTATTTACACACCAGGTCACATGGTTGAGCGGAGAGCGTTCATTCTTTACTTTAGCGTTAACTTTATCACCGACCATTCCGTAGGTCGTAATTTTTTTGAGTGGTAAACGATATTTTTTAATAGTTTCGGAGGAGTATAACTACAAAGAGTATAAATCTGATCTCTATGATCGCTCTGCTCTTCGCGCTCCGCTCAATTAGTATTAAAAATGTAATGTGTATATAATGTAAGTACGTCTTTTAGTTTCATACGTCAAATAAAAATATCAGAGAAACATTCACAAAATGCATACTTCATGCTTGTAAATGAATACAGAGAGAGGGTCTTGACACCGAACGGTATAAAATGGTATAAATCAGGTCTGTTCAAGTTGAAGGCGTGTACGAAAATAACACAAATTATATCACGAACTGTCGGACTGTACAATACAAATGAAATATTTTAATAAACAAATATTTTTCAGCGCCTAGTAGAAGAAGGTTTTAAACGACAATATTTTATTATTATTCAGATAAAATAATAAATTACAATGAGTCTCCATTTGAATCTATAAAATCTGTTAATTAATCATATGAGAATGCAAATTTTTAAATATAGTTAATTACATGATGACATTTTTTCAAGTTATAATTTTTTACAAAGTTTTACATTACTTATAATAAAGATTTTTATAATTAAGAAAGTGTGTGTGGTACATTCATAGGTGTATTGTATGTATATGGTGGTGTGTATATGAATGTGATTTTCTTAATTATACATAATATATTTATTGATTAATTTTATATGTGTGAAAATTTATTTGTCCCTTTGTTTGATACAATTTCATTACTAAACGGATCCTAATGAATTTGACTTGAAGATAAATTGTCTTGCAAAGACGGACATACACTATACCTCATCTCAAAAAGTAGAAAAAACGCTGGTGATATTTTATGATTCTAAAAATATTTTCAACGATGTCCTAAATATGTTGCGGGCCGTGGTTTGAGAAACTCTGTCTCTAATATACGATGTCGAATTGTCCGTATGTATTTTTATGGACTATTGAAAATATACTCAGCATTTTAATCTAGACAAATTGTATTCTACAGAGTTATTTTTATGAGGGGAAATTGATTGCGTCTGAGCTAACGGTTAGGGCTGACCCTATTTGCGAAAGGTAATAGGATAAAGTTAAGTTCTGTTTACGAATTCGCCTCGAATTAGTAAAGCTGATCTCCATGGGGACCTTGTGAAGGTCGATATGACACATTGTTAGCAATAGGGCCAGTGCCCACCTTCAACTATCCCGTCGTCCTATTGCCCATTACATCGAGTACAAACTATGCTCAATAAATATTGGTTTCATAGAACAATCGATCAACAACATGACTTTTTTATGGGTGATGCATAGGGTTGTCAGTTTTTGGTTATCTTTAATTTTAGTTTTTACTTACTGAGATTGACAATACATCGGATGAAAACTGTTAAAGTAAGGTAATCGTCTGTTGCCCACAAATAAATTATATAAATGAGAAAGTCTGTCTGTGTGTTTGTTACGCTTTCATTCTTTGAGGCGACAAGTCTCAAGTGAAGTACCTACATAGGCTATATTCTTTAATTCACTAGCAGTTTTATTTCCATTAGCCATATTTAAAATAGAAGTATTATTTTTATCTATTGTTCTTATATGCACTTCTGTGACTGCATTCTGTTATAGTAAACATCTAAAAGCATATTTTTCTATCATATATTATTACTCTGTCTTACTTTTATACAGTTAGATGTCATTCTCCAGACCTTCGGCTGTTGTGTCTTAATTAGACAATACCCTACAGGTCAAAATAAAAACTGCTGCCTTCTGGAATAAATAGAATAACAAAAATCCAGCATCCAGCAGTGACGCAGTATTTTACCTCACATAACAAATGCAATATCATTCCAAATGCTTTCACCTATATATGTATGAATTATATAAGACTATATGAACTTGAATATAAATACAAAATGTAACCGTAAACGTAGCCGCACAAATTTCCCCAAGGAACATAGTGGAAAAAAGACAATAATTTTAGATGTTGTATACAAAATGCAATGCAATACAATTTTGTGCAAACCTGGTCCAAATAATGCACAATGACTATTTCTTTGTTATTTTACGACGACCTCAGTGGTCTAGCGGTTTAGCACACCGCTTTACTTCTGATGGTTGTGGGTTCGATTCCTCGCACAGTCCAAACATTTTTATTCATGAGTATGATTGTTTGTATCGGTCTGGGTGTTTTCTATGTATGTATTTAGAAAAAAAACTAAGTATTTATATCAGTTGTTTAATTCCCATAAAACAAGCGCTACTTACCGTGGGACTAGATGGCGTTGTGTTAATTGTCCGGGATTCTTTATTTATTTACACAATTAGTATACTATTTACCGACATTACAATCAATGGTTCTTCAAATTTGTATGAACCGAAGATAAGAGTTGTAGTAGCTGCAAGCTATGATGGACGATTCACCATTACAACTATAGGTTGGTATACATAATCGTAAATATGTTTCAAAAAGAATCATTACTGTTTCCTATAAATAAGCTCTGATATCGAATATTACATTTCATGTATATTCAAAATAAATAATTAACTCATATACTAAACAATACAATAACAACTGATATTATATTAAATAAAATGAAATCATATAAATTTAAATGTATTCACTTTTTATTTAATTTATCATTCTACTAGGATTGTCTAGATCGTCGTTGACAACCCTAAAAGTTATCTAGAAATTGTGGAACTATCCGTTACATTTTAGTGCTTATTTGTATGCGCATACGGAGATCGATAAATTGGAAATAGTTTGAATGCCCACCTGCGTACAATATTTCTTATCAGATTTAGTAGAACGAGGTCAAACAATGAACTTAGTGCTATAGTCAAGCATATATGCTTGTAACCATTGTTATTATGCATTTTAGTCATATCAGAGGTACACATTGTACAAATTCGTATTCGTACCTCTGCCTCACTCAAGGTTTGTAAGCTGTGTTTAGGTCGAAATACAGTTGAGGCAACGAAGTCAAGGAAAATAATAATTATTTTATTTGTCTCAAACAATGAATTATTATAATTACCGCTTAAAACAAATTTAAGAGGTGTTAATCCAGACAAAACGGTCTACAATTCAGAAAGAGCAGTGAGTCCACCCTCTCTGCTATTCTGTTGTAGCGGTTATCAGTAAATTATAACAACTTACTTATAAACTAAGTATACATTGTGGTAACCCCACAATATATAATATCTTAGTCCTCCAGTATGGCAATGCTTGATGATTGATTGTAGTGAGATTTTTGTCCACAAAAACCACACAATATACCTCTAAGCATGGACTGTCTTTATACTTTACCACAACTATGGCGGTAGCCGCTAGTCTGATTATATTTTTTATTTTTATATTTTTTATGGATGATAACGAAAAGATTCACGTTACGCTGCGGGCACCAGTGGAGGCTTGTCAGGTTCGGTTAGTGTATCAAAAGGCAATTTACTACGATGGTTTCTACGGGGAACTAAGTGGAGTTCAATCCGAGATCGTACATTGCCAGTAATGGCGTTATTAGTCCGCATTACTAACATTTAATTTCCCTCCGGTCTTATAGGATACATATTGCTCTGTTTTGGTTTCTACGGAATATCTTATATCGCTCTATCGAAGACGGTGTATGATCCGAAGGCTAGGATAGTTACCAATGACACAGCATTTAGACCAGAAAAAAATACATTCTCATAAATAGTGCAAGTAGCTATGAATACACATTTTGTGGAAACATTTCCTTCCTTGTAACGTTATATTTGTCTGTGTTTATGCTTTAAACCGCATGGTCAGCATCATAATTGTGCGTTAAAATTTCCTCTTATTACTAGGGAGAGCACTGCTTGATGTTTTGGCGGGGATTTTACAGCACGGTGCTGAATGGTATTTTTAATTACTGATGTTTCTAAGGACTGTATTTTTAATATATTTTAATTTTAGTTTTAAGAGAAACTACGGTCGCTGATGGTAAAAGACATATATATAAAAAAATACAATAAAAGTCTAAAAAGGTGCGTCGTGCACAGGTATTCTAAAGTAAAAGAAATGTATAAAAAAATTAATTAAAAAATGATTGGCTGGTAACAATTTGCTTGGTGGCCAGAATTGCTTCAAGCAAGAAATGCATAGTACCCATACTATACATATTGTTCATGTCCACTATACTCGCTACGATTTATGCATTGCATAAAATGTCTTTGCAGCTTCCTAATGTGGGTATTCGATAAATGGAGCCCGTACAGCTATCAGAACAATCGGGAGAAGTATAAAGATGACGAAGAGAAGCGAGAATTCACACTCAAGGAGTGTTTGTGGTTCTGTATGACTTCACTGACACCTCAAGGTGGAGGGGAAGCTCCAAAGAATCTCTCTGGACGCCTCTTAGCAGCTACCTGGTGGCTTTTTGGGTATGTAGATTTCATATACAATAAATCTGAAGACACTTTTTTTTGTATCAAAAGGCAAATAATCTAATGACCTATCTGATGGAAAGCAGAAAAATATTTCTATTTTTCTTCAGGTTTATGAGACACAGTTGTTATATAATTATATTTAATGTAGTAATAATTTAGAATATTAATTAAATTTTACAGTCTAAATATTAAATGGTATAATTCTCGTATTGTAAGTAGATTCAGAGGAAGCTTGTTTGAGTTTGCATTAAAATAATCTCTTCCTGCATTATATTTTTGTACCAATTTGATAATAAGTGCAGTGACCTACGCGCAAACGTCGTCTAATGAATTAATAACAGACTTCCGTTTATTTGTATAAAGTAGCATTTCCAAAAACATTAATATCCCAATTAGCAAGAATTAAAAAAAGATGCAAACTGTTTTATAATAGACATAAACTGTACACTAGACTGCTCATTAAGAAATATCAAACACAATCTGCCAAAAATCTAATAGTTTATATTCTTCTATCGTTACCACAATCTAACTAATTAAATTTAATGCAATCACTGACTTCGATGACATTTTTGTCTACAGGGCATTGTCCAAAACTAAATTAGTTAATATATGCGTATTTCACAGACAATCAACCCACGCATAATGTACACAACAAAAATATACATATACCTTTAATACCTATTTTTGGGTAATGTAGGATTATGGAATGTTATATCCGCTTGCGGTTAACAGTATCCGGCTGGGCACCAGTGGATGATAGTCATGAAGTCAGTTCCGTTAATATATCATGGGGAATTCACTAGCAATTAACCAAAATGGTTTCCACGGGCTACCGACTGGATTTCGACCTAACACAGCATATTATTAGGTCACTATTACCCATTACTAACAATCCCTTCTCCCCTATAATACATATTTACATCGCATAAGTATCAAATGTTTAAATATTTGTTAAATTTTGTAACCAGCCAGATAGTGACCAAAATAGGTTGACATAACTCAATCCGAAAAGGTAAATCTAGAAATTAGAGACAGTCATTCCTCTTGCACAGGCGTTTCTTCATCCGTAGGTATCCAATAGCAGTGTCGGGCCTAAAATTCTGCACTATGAACTATAAATATAGCTCTACCTTTGCTTGATATTGTGTGTCTGTATTATCAAATATTTGATAGTCCTCATGACATTACTACATACTTCCTACTTCATATACATATAGTTATCTGCTTTTTATGCTGATTATTACGATTCATTATTTCCCTCGTCACACCACAAATCTTTTCACACTCATATATTTTCACACACAATTCATTCACTTATTTTTGAGTCTCACTCTTCTATTATATAACAAATACTGTAATGATGTAATGGTAAAAACTACAATGAAATGAAAGTAAGTAAGTCTTATAAATTCACACTGAGATAGACGCAGTGGTCGATACTGTTCAATTGTATTTCGAGAACTGCACATTGTAGTTATAGTTTCATATCATGGCTTTATATGACTTTTATTTCACAGCTTCATCATAATAGCGTCGTACACAGCAAACTTGGCCGCTTTCCTGACCGTTTCCCGACTTGACACGCCAATAGAGTCACTTGACGACTTGTCAAAACAGTACAAAATTCAGTACGCTCCTTTGAACGCCTCTTCCGCGATGACATACTTCCAGAGGATGGCTGATATTGAAGTCAGGTTCTACGAGTGAGTAATAGAGTTACATGTTAGTAGTACATGCGTTTTTATTTCACAGTTTCATCATAATTGCATCGTACACAGCAAACTTGGCGGCATTCCTGACCGTTTCACGACTTGACACACCAATAGAGTCACTCGACGACTTGTCCAAACAATACAAAATACAATACGCACCTCTGAACGGTTCCTCAGAGATGACCTACTTCGAGAGGATGGCTAACATTGAAGTAAGGTTCTATGAGTAAGTAATGAAAAATATTTAAATCTTCATTTGGAAAATCATTTGTCTGACTATTCAGAAATGGCGGTCTTCCGCAATGCGTTTTACCGGAAAACACTGGAATCTATTATCATAAAATTTCCGATGAAATTAAAACTTTTAAGCATTTTCTCTTAAGAATATTTGAGCTGTAGACTTGTTTACCCTTTATGCTATAAAAAATCTTATATTCGACTTCAGCAACCTCTGGAGTAAACTAGGTTCAGGCCTTATTCATAGCAAGGAAAACTTCAATCATCGGATACATAATCTCTTAACTGATAGACATTTTACGATTTTCTATTTAAAAAATAATAGTTTTGCAAGTTAAAATAAACAAGTTAGGTTTATTACAACAGAACTTGTAGTATTGAAGTTAATTTATCACACGTTCTAGTCTGCAAATGGGGTCAATTTAATCCACAAATGTGACCTACATTGGACGTGAAACTACATTAATGTATACGAACGTGTAAGTCTAGATTTTATATGTAGTTACGTACTAAATAGACAATACTGTATCTAACCGACCTGATTTGATTCACATTAGATCAACATTTCGATGGCGACACCTGGTCGACACGATAATGTAGAGTCGCGATCCTCAGGAGTGAGGGAATGATTAAGAAAAAGAATATATATTAATTATTGAATGTACTACTTCTAATAGTTTATTAAAAATAAATAATCGTTATATGATACAAAGTCATCACGCCATAATCTTCAGTAATGGCAACGCGTAACTCTATGCGTCAAAATATATTTTGTGATGTTGCTGATTTTATTCCTAGGTAACTGATATGAGAAAAAAACAATATCCATATAAATGTTACAAAAGCCATACAGTAAGATTGGTTGAATGCACTAACCTCCGGAACTGCACTTTCGAATTGATTAAATTTTAATTTTGGCGTCATGCTACAACAAAAAGAAGTGGTGTAACAATGAATACAATATAAAGTCCACAACAATTTATATCTACCCCATTAGGTAGTTGGCATGTAGATACATAATTATAGTGAACGTCATCTGAAAAGATTTTCTAAGGGAGTGGATAAATAGAAAAAGGATTTCCGAAGTAGGACACGTATCTTATTCAATGCATTATTTCAGGCTGATTATCATTATTTATTTACATGATGACACGAATATGGTTTATTATACTTTAGCTGTATTGTAGGACGTGCATATTGAATTAATAATGATTCAATCAAAGGAAATTCGGTACACACAAAATTGAAACAAAATGTTTTTAGGCCAAGATAGCTATATACCAACAAAAATGAGAATAGAACGTGAGACAAATCAACAGTGATAAATAATAATAATTAATAAGATATTCATACTAGTGTTATGAATATGAAAGTGTACACACACTTTCTTTTTCTAAATTACCTTTTTTCGACAAAACAAGAACGGGTTATTACCCATTATTATGGATGTTTATCAAGATCTATACAGATGCCGCTGTTTTTTTTTTAAGTAGTTGTTTTATTACTTTTTTTTTTGAAGGAAAAAGGAAACGGTATCGGAAGTGGAAGCTGGCTTACCTATTAAATTTTGTTTTTAATTGTTCAAAAATTTTCGAGCACACAATATCTCTGCGTGTATATCTTCGTGCATATCTTCACAAGAATTTGAAGTGACGTTAAACTCTCGTGACAAGTATTTCCGTCTAGTGTGATTCCTGTTATCGGTCATTCACATAATTATTTTTATCTAAATCTCGTTCGATGTAAACAAATGTTAGTGTGGAATTTTGTTTTGCAATTCTGTTAATAATAACTGCTATTTAAAATGCATTACGCAACTTAATTTCAGTATCTAAGATCGGTATTAGTATCGTAAATGCGAATTTATACAGCTGAACGGATCTTGTTGCAAAATGTGAAAATAGATTGTATGATATAGACGGAAAGTGACTACTTTTTATCATAGGTAGAAGGAGACTAAGTTTCGGATATGAGCTAATAAAATATACACTTAATCCCGGTAAGTATAGCTAAACTACAATTCCAGTACATTAGTACTCAGCAACCAAAATTTATTATAATATCGCTAGAAATTGTGAAACACTATCTTTACTTTATATTTTCAGTAGTTACCCATAACTTAGGTAATTAACTTTCTAATAAATTCATACAGTCACTATGGTCAGGTATAATATATATAATATACATACTGAAAGGCCGAGCATAATAGATCTATGTAGGGCGCAGTGCTATTGGTCTTAACATCTAACAACAGCCCAAAACCATTAATAAAAAAAATTACATATTACCAAATATGTACATATAAGAATAATTATACATATTTATAAAGTTACCCTTACACATAGGGTTACATTAGTTATTAGAAACTTGAGTTATTGAATAGTATTAGACACATCTGCAATAACAACACCATGCATATCGAATGGCATGCCTACCTACAGATTTTACACAACATATCTAATTTACTAAACTAATTTATTAATTCACATTTTTAATATTATTAATTATGTAATTTAGTAGATATTGTTAGTTTTTCTACCTAATTATTGATTGCTCTAATTCTAGTGTTATCTATTAATTACAGTTGTTGGAAAATGTATTTGAGTAGTAAGCAATAACGCTATTTTTTTAATGGTTAAATAACGAGATGATCTATCAGCCTATGCTAACAATATATATACGCTGGCAGGACACCAGATAATTCAACAGGAATTAAACACTATGAATTGTGGTGCAACCGCCTGGAAGTCGACCTGATAAGAGACCTAATCCCTTCCTCCAACTAGCTCTCTATTGGGTTGACTGAAAGGGATATTGACATAGGTCTATTAATTTTTTTTGTTAATTAATATTATTAGAATTCGAATGATTTAGTAGTTTAGTTATATATAGTTATATATGTAAAAGAATTGTGTTATGTAAATATTTGTGTATATATATCAGTTGTTTAGTATTTCTCTTGTTTTATATTTATCACTGTATTCTAATATTGAAATTTATCAGGATTTGGAAAGAGATGAGTTTAAATGACAGTCTTAGCGACGTTGAAAGAGCAAAGCTAGCAGTGTGGGACTATCCAGTCAGCGACAAATACAGTAAGATGTGGCAGGCAATGAAAGAAGCCGGTTTGCCGAACTCAATTGAAGAGGCTATACAGCGTGTGAAGGACTCAAAGAGTTCTAGTGAAGGTTTTGCATGGTTAGGAGATGCTACAGACGTGAGGTACCACGTGTTGACCAGCTGCGATCTCCAGATGGTCGGTGATGAGTTTTCGAGGAAGCCGTATGCAATTGCTGTCCAACAAGGTTCTCCGTTGAAGGATCAGTTTAATAATGCGTAAGTATTTCGTACTATAATTACCTATAATTTAACGGTCTCGGTGGTCTAAATGTTTAGCTCAACGCTTTCCTTCGATGGTCGCGGGTTCGATGCCTCACACGGTACAAACATTTGTATTCATGCGTATGATTGTTTGTATTGGTCTGGGTGTTTTCTATATATATATTATTTAAGTATATACAAAAAAATATATAAGTAATTCTATCAGTTGTCTAGTACTCATAACACAAGCTCTGCTTACTTTGGGACTAGATGACTTTATGTCCAGAGGTATTATTTTATTCTATTTTACTGCTAACGAGTTTACTGCTCTCAAGTTATTCCTTATGAGAGTTCAGAGTCTGAACTAGGTCGACCTGTATGTACTATAGATCTCCAAGCTCTCTCCGAGCCCTTACTGTGCTATATAATACGTCTTTGAAATTGATTCGATCGATATTGAGTTGATTATTTGAGAAAATATAGTTTTTTTTCGAACTATGTTAATGATTGTACTCGTTATGTAAACCGGATATTTATCACGATAATATTATTTATGAGTTCTTAATATTTGGACGTTGTTTCAAACGACTTGGTCGACTATATCCCGTATGTATACAATATGAGTATGAATTGTAAACAACCGCAAAAAAAAAATTAAAACATCATTTATATGTATGTATTATGTAACATTATCTTATCTGTGATATGTATATTAATGATATTGGCCGCTTCTAGCAATTTACAACTTCACCGGAAGATCGAGAATGTAATGATAAAAATATCTGTTCACATACACGTCTCTATTTTCTTAATTCGTCTCATACATTCACATCAATTCTACTTTGTATTCATGAGTATGACTATTTATATCGGTCTATGTGTTATATCGGTATAAGTAATGTATTTATGTATTATTATCAGTTGCCCAGTATTGACAACACAAGCTCTGCTTAGATCGGGACTAGGCGGCGCTGTGTAAATTGTCCTGAAATATATTTTATATCATATTATATGTACCCACAAGTAATAGTAGAATTAGTTTTATAAACGAACGATAAATTGAAAACAAAAACAATTATTATTATCTTTTAATCGAGGAACCTTTGACTAAGTAAACATGTCGTTGATCAGAGTTTCATGGGGCTTAATAATCTGATATTCATTTTGTTATTATTACTCGTATTAAATGATAAAACAAATGACTTAGCGACCCGTCTTGAAGCTAGTGATGTGTTATTTACAGATATAGAAACAAATTTGGTATCGATTTCCGCGGATATGGATCATCGCCCTTCCATTTAGTTTACTATTAGATAATTATATTCCAGTGATCATAAAATACTAATAGTTTACACTTTATAAATCACTTTATCTCTATATTAGTAACTTACTACAATTGTTTCAATAATTATCTTTTGCAATATAAATGGGCTGTAATATGAATTCAAGGCATAATATAAACAACAAAAATTTAAATCAAAATTGGTACAATATTAAATGTGATGTGTGTTTAAAATTTTAAAGATCCATTACGATCCGCCAAAAAGTACGGATACAGATTTTTTTACACGAATATCCGCAGATACCAATACAAATATCCGTCACATCACTACTTGGAAAACACCGGCTTTTGTAAACTAACTCACTGATAATTTGAGACAGTTCACCTGAAGGAAAGTGGAGACTGTCACCTATATAAACTCTCGTGTGTAATATTATACATTGCCATTCCTGGTGACTAAGTTGTTATGTTCGAAAAGAACGCTCGAAATTACGAATTAACATTTGTATATGCTCCTCTTACTCATTAGTACCTCCATAAGTCAAAACGTGTTAAATATATATACAATTGCTTCCTATAAGTTAATTTAACGTTATTTTCTCAGCTCTACGCTCTTCTGACATAGATATATTAGAATGTGTTTTTACTTCGTTAATATTAAAATTGCATTAGCGTTGCAATTGGCTTTTGCTACCTCGAATGTATTATGCAAATAGCTGCAGGAAACATAACCTCGCAAATATTTATATCAGTGACCTTTGTGTGTTTACTAACAGTAATTTTGATGCAATAAATACATATTAGTTTTACACATGGAATGTCTCGCCATTTTCTTTTCCTCTTGTTATAATTATTGGCTAAATTAATTTCAATTTAAACGTATCTGTGATTAAAGTCAAAATAAGATCATAGAAAGGATAAGGTGTTATTATAATAAAAAATAGAATCGAAATTCGATTTTTTTAATTGTCCGATCAAAATAGCGACGCAACAGTGTCTAGTACTTCTTACATCTAAGTAGGTATTTCTTAATTTTCCAGTTGCACAGCATTATGCAAGATTACGAAGTGCTTATAAAAATAATATGATAATTTATAATAAAAACAAATGCAAACCTGCTTTAAAATAGCATTTTTTAAATACATTAAAATGAGTATATACGCAGTTGATAAGTTATATTATATTACAATGTATAGTGAAAGTAGGTCTTTTAAGTTTCCATGAGTATAAACCATACTGATTATATTTCTCTGTTAGTAATTTTTACGTCTTGTGGAGGTAAAATATCAAGTCTAAATGTCGAGTTCTTACTTAATAATCAAGACGATAAAAACCTTATCTCCTTAAATGAATGGCTTAGGCTAACTAACTTTTCTGATGAAGTTTGTACGACGTTGATAATCTATACATATAAATAAAATTGGAGTGTCTTTTTTACTACATATATATGAATACGGCACATACACCAAAATAACATTTTTTACAATTTTTGTCTGTCTGTCTGTCGGTCTATTTGTTCCAGCTAACATATTAGCCGGAACAAACAGAATCATCAATCATCCAGCCATTGATTTTTTTTTATTTTGGATCGATTTTGGCGGGTCTTTTTTTGGCAGGTAGGTGATGTAATAAGGAGTAACTTAGGCTACTTTTGTTTTAGAAAAATAAAGTAAAATTTCGCGCGTAAGTCGCGTGTACAGCTAGCTCCTAATAAAGCGGATGTGGATTATTGTGACATATTTTGCAATTATTAGGCAAGACTGTGACTCATCAGTACCCTAGTAGTAAGAACTTGTACTGCTTCCGTTAATTTCAATTTGAGATTCAAGGTTACTAATGTGTAACACAATAAAAAGAAAATGGAGTCCATCCTACATTACATTACATTACATTTTAATTATTACATCAGAATATTTGTCAGCAGGACAGCAAAAGCACACATAGATAAATTATAAAAGTTGTTATTTATATAAAAAAATATTGTAGCACACCGCTTTACTTCCGATAATCCCGGGTTCGATTTCTCTGCAGGTGAATTACAATGGAAGGTAGTTGGTAATGGTACAAACATTTGTATTGATGAGTATGATTGTTTGAAAAAATATCTTAGTATTTATATCAGTTGTCTAGTACCAAGTACAAGCTCTTATATGGCGTTGTGTGAATTGTCCAGGGGTATTATAGTATTACCATTATATCTAAACCCCATTTTTATAAAACGTTAAAAAATAATGTTTGAGAAATACAATAATTCATACAATAGTTAATAAGAATATATGTATGTATTGGGTGACGTAACAAATGTAAATTGAAGTCTAATCTCCGCAGTTAGCCTCTAGGCCAGCCAAGCTCCTCTCAGAAGCAGAAAAGCCTCCTAAACTTCTTGAAATTACAATAATAATAATTTATTTTCCAGCATACTTCAACTCCTCAACAAACGGAAACTGGAGAAGCTGAAAGAAAACTGGTGGACAAATAATCCTAATGCAATGAAATGCGAAAAACAAGATGATCAGGTTTGTAATGACGCTTGTAAGGAGACTGCATATGATACTACTAACTGATCCGCGCAACTTCTTCTGCATCACATTTACTTGACATTTATCATGCATATATATATGACTTGACATATATTTCGACGAATTTACATATATATTTATATTTGACCCTATATGTTCTCCTGATTTAATAATAATAATCTCAGGACAATTCACACAGCGCCATCCAGACTCAAGTTGAGCTGGCTAAAGCTCGTGTTATGGGTTCTAGACAACTGATACAAATACATAGATAATTTTTTAATTTTTTTTATATATTTATACATATTATACATAGAAAACACCCAGACCGATACAAGTACTGATTTATAAAATAATAATCCATACTCACAAACTTTCGCCTTTAAATTTTACTATGATATATATATAAGATAGGTACTACGGATAAAGTCATCATATTATATGACATCTGCGGCAACGATTACACCCAAATCGTTCATACTTTGTCGTTCCGAAGCTGCTTGGCTTGTATCTCAGTGGTAAATTATTATTTAGATTAGGATTAATATGTTGTGTTATTGCAGTTAAATTCGAAAAGTACCCATTGAGTTTGACGCTAATGGTAATAGAATAATGCAGTATATAAAATTATTTGAGATTAAAAATTTCAAATAATTTCATATAATCTAGTAGCATATATAAATATATAGGTATATATCGACGGAAGGAAACGAAAATGTAACTTGAATAACCCAACTTTACAAGAATTCTTTTAGATTCATTTATTTCACAATCTCATATATTTATCATGATATAAATTGGTATGTATTTAAGCACTTTTCAACTTTATACCTCGATAAATGTATGAGTTATGAATTTTAAAAACAGTTTTTGGTAAAGACGTGTTTATAAAATTACGACAATTTTGCTTTCTTCTGTCGATATATTCCTCGTTGATTCCATATTATAATGGGAACACCTAATAAAAATGTTATTTTATTATTTACAGTCAGACGGTATCTCAATTCAGAACATAGGCGGCGTGTTCATAGTAATTTTCATGGGTATCGGCCTCGCCTGCATCACACTTGGCGTCGAGTACTGGTGGTACAAGTGGAGGAAACGATCTACCATCGGCGACGTTACACAGGTAACACCTTACTGTGTTCAAGCACCATAACGCAGTCCAATACACTAAAAAAATATTTTTTCACCGTGTTTAATCGTATTTCTAACAGGTGGTAGTAAATTCCCGGTATTTCTATTACTTATTTTATTCAATTCATCAGAGTTAGTCTACTTACTTGGCTTCAATCTCATCTTATAATTGTTCAATGCCTAGATGTGGAGGGGATTGTTAGTAACGGAGTTTAATGGTTTTCTACTTATTACTACTTATTTCTACTATTAGGACGATCTCCCCCTTAAAACAAACCTGGTTAAATCCTATTGAATTCGCAAGGATAGTCTAACTGACCTGACTTCATTCCAATTTTATTATGAAGGTAAACTGTTACCGTAGCCCATGGACGCCTGAAACACCAGTAATATCTGCTTAATAACTGTGCAGATTTTTAAAAATAAATTTAAAAAAATACTCCTCCACACTCAGAAAACTGTGCCGTGATGTGTCTGCACTCCAAAAGCGGGGTAATGCAAGGTGTCAGCCTACTAGTGTCACCAGAACTTATGTTTATTTTATGTTTCAGTGTGTAGTTGATGTTTATTTATATATGGTAGTATGTCGTAAATGTTTCCTGTGTTATCCGCCTAGATTTATGTATGTATGTGTATTATTATTATTATTTTATTATATTTATTATATATGAAGGTATCCGCTGAAAACCAGCGTCGTGGCACCCCATGCTGAGCGGAGACCTATTTGGTACTGAATTATTAATATAAAAATGTAAAACAAATTTTAAAAATTATTTTCAGTGTACCATATAAACAATTTTCTTTCTTTCTTTAATGTATACTTGCGTTGCCGACCCTAGAGAGATTATATTACAATACAGATTATATTGATTAATTCTTGTGAATTTATATATTTAAGTATTATTCAATTAAATTAACGTTGTTCTAGGTGGAACCAGCTAAAATAACAAGAAACAACGAGAACTTTGGCATTTCAAAAGGAAACGAGGGATTCACATTTCGTTCTAGAAATTTCGGCCTGTCTAACCTAAAGTCTAAGTTTTAATTAAATTGTAAGTCTGTAATTGAATCAGACGTTTATTTAGTTCTCGTTTATTGAGGCAAAGGTATTTTTTACGTTATATTTACTAGATATACCAGTGGTTGAAGATTGTATTATTCTGCTCCTTAAGTAGAAAAATATGCAAGTGTGAATGCAATAAACACGTGGCACTAACCCTGAGTATTGATTACAAGTCTCCGTATTTCTTTTATTTGACTGGAAGGGCATTCAAAGTAATCATCATTCATCCTACCATCCATGGTAAGTGGCAAGATTAGACTCATGCGTCGCCAAGACTGACATGTTATACAATCTGTAATGACATTGCCTTATCTCACCCTTGAAGCACATTTTTAAACCATGATTGTTGGCGTCTGTTATATTTCAGATAGAGACGAGAATCTCTTGTCTCGATTCGGCAAGTCAGACATGATATTGTATTGACTTCGAGACATGATATTGTAGTTTACCTCAGAAATTAGCTCAAGTAAAAATTATAGACCATCAAAAATATATAAAATACTTTTATTTACTTAGGTACTTCTTATATAAACGCAAATGTACTAAATGTAGCACTTGCGTTCGCTCTCGTAACAAACATATCTTTAACAACTAAAATGTACAATAATTTAATAATTTCGGACATTGTCAGCTGAGTATTATACCTCAACGAATCATGAAGTCAAGGAGACTGACAATACATCGGCAAGAAAACATTATCATATAAAATTTAAAATTAAATATTTACAAGATAAAAATAGCCTTCTCTATTATAAATAGGTATTAAACGCTATAGAATTTGGTAATGTAATTATAGTTCTATTGTTTTCCCATGGTTGTTCATATTCTTTGCGTTCTTATTGCACAACTCCAGTTCTAATCTAAGACCGTCCAATTCAGCTTCCAGGGTGCGTGTCCTTTTAAACATCTGGACGTAATTGAGCTGTAACTGCTTCTGGTATCTTAGTACTTTATCCTTTTCCTCAGACCATTTTCGCCTTTCATTATTGAACTGGGTTTCTTTACGTTCCATTTCGCATTTGAGCGTTTCCACTACAGCGCTCGCAGGACAAGGATCCCCGCAGGGATCTGGCAGTTCTCCATTCAGTCTTTGCACTTCTGCGTCTTCTAAGGCACTATCGCTCGAAGTCCAATGATATTCATTGGTTTTACAGACATCGTATATTCCTCTCATGGTCCGGCCACATTCGATACCTTCATACCCGCTTAGAGAGACATCAGATAGTTCCTGCCTTAGTTCCTTTAGCTCTGTTTTTAGTCTTTCTATTTCGTTTTTACTGTTTTCCTTTGTTTTGCCCAAGTCCGCAACGCTTTCCATCAAGTCGTTTGCAAGTCTGTCAACTTCTTTCTGAAGTCGGTTAACGATCTTTTCTTTCTCCTCGGATTCACCCCGCAGTCTCATTATGTCTTTCTCTTTCTTGTCGAGAGCTTCCCTAAGTTGGCGGCAATCTGCTTTCAATGTGAGATACTCGTGGCCTTTAGCGGTTTGTTCATTCTGTAATTATGAAAATAATAATTATTTTTTTTGACTTTTGATTAAAAGCTATCATCATCTGTTATTAGGATTATTTGTATTTGTAAATAGAGATTGTGAATCATGAAAGTTCAAAATGAAATAAATATAATTACATTGATGTAAAATATATTAATAATGGCTTTCCGTACTCTCTAAATTACAGTGCAAGTAATTATCTAAAATGCAGTAAATTCGAAGATTCGTTTTTTAAACTATTCTTATGTTGTTAATCAGTCGACCTTTAAAATTTCGTCCGGCGTAAAATGGAGGTGATTACAAAAAGCATTCTAAACCCTCGGAAGAACTTAGTAAAAGAAACAGCAACTACTGCCTGACGAACACGACTTTGGTCTGATAGCACCGCTAGACGATCGAATCTCAGTTCAGGCCATAAAAGAGTAACAAACCTCTATCCATCCATTCATCCATACTCACAAACTTCCGCGTTTATAATATAAGTACGAAAAAGATTATTTCCAACTTACGAAGTTACTGACTAGGTTACACTAGACAAGAAAAAAACGCGTCTACATATTAATAAAGTTAGGGTCAAAAAAAATAAGTCTTGAGTCGAAAAAAAATACGCGAGCTGGTTACTCGCGAGTGTATTTTTTTTCGACTCAAGCGCTACATACAAACATTGTTCTTAATAAAAGTATACAACATTGAAATAAAAATAATATGTCATTTGAAATCTTGAAAACTAAGCTTTAAAAAAAACATCAACACCATAAAATAAAACAAGTACCAACATGTTCATTTGCGCAATTAGGGCGTATGGGACAAATTACTCTCTACGCTACCTGTTGCGCTACCCTGTACCCCTATAAAAACCCCCGTGACCCTTCTAAATAAATATCTTAAATTCAAGCCAACCTGGGCATCCTTCAGCTGATTTTTCAACAGTGCTATCTCGCCCGCTCTCTGGCACAGACTCCACTCAGTATCCTCGAGCCTCTGCCGCAACAGGGCGCGGTCTCTCCTCACCCTGGCCAGCTCCGCGTCTCTCTCGTCCCTGGAGCGTGCACTGTAGCTCTGCAGCATGAGGCCACGTGGGGCACGCACGCGGACTTCGTGGTTTCGAAGACGGTCGGTTGTACTGAAAGTATTATTATATGTTTATGATAACATGTTATTGTATTATATAATGTTTGGGTTTAAATATATTATTTAAATTATTAATGTAACGTTAGATTTTGTTGTTCGTGCTAATATCATTGATAGTCTCGGTTGTCTAGGGGGTTAGTAGACTGCCAATAATTCAATAATCATCGATTCATACTAATATTTCAGTATGATAGAAACAGTATATTTTGGCCTGGGTGTTAATAATCACTAGTTCGATTCTCGGAGGAAAAAATAATTTTTATTTGTGAGTATGATTTTTTGGATGGGTTTGGTGTTAGGATTTCAAAAGGAATTAAAATAATAATAAGAAGTCAATGTAGACTATAGAAATATGTCTTTATTCATGCATGTCTAGTCTTATATTATGACTATAGACATACATGAATAAAGACATTTTGATTAGATTTTTTTTTAATTTCACATATAGGTATCATAACTTTTACAAATCGGTGATTAAAAAGTAACGGTTTTGTTTAATTGTTACATTGTTGTTACTAGAAGTAGTAACTAATGTTTGCAGGTAACGGATTCACTCACTACGTATATTTCTTTTATAAACCCAGCTTCTGTTATTGGGTATTGTTTTCTGATTTCGAGTTACCTCTTATGCACAATAAGCATTTCAACTCACGTTAAACACAATGGTAAATGTTTTTGACGCCTTTTGTTATTTTTATATTACAGTTAGGAGAGAGTTATTAAAATAATCACTACGCTTTTTTCACTCTCATAATTTTAATAAAAAAAGCAACGTAGCAACATAGATGACCTCGGTGGTTCAGTGGTTTAACGATTTACTAGCGATAGTCGCGGGTTCGATTCCTAGCACGATACAAATATTTGTATTCATGAGTACTATTATTTGTATCGGTCTGGGTGTTTTCTATGTATATCATACATGTATTTACCAAAAAAAAGTATCTATGTATTTATCAGTTGTCTAGTACTCATTATACAAGCTCTGCTTAATTTGGGACTGGATGGCGCTGTGCGAGTTGTCCAATATGATTGTTATATAGAAATTTATATATATATATTGTTTCGAAATATTTATATGACAATAATGTGTGATATTGTGACTACTAAACTATATGATACTATTTGAAACACTCGTTGGAAATCATCAATAAAATTTTTTATATGTGTGAGTATAGAATTATGCATCAGGCTGCATTAACGATATAGGTAGTCATTCTCCAAGTAAGGCACTATCCGTGACCTCTTAGGTTACTATATACACATATATATATTATATGTATATACTTTCCATCAGGTATATCGTAGTAGTTTAGTTTAAATAATATTTGATGATTTCGGTGGTCTCGCAGGATTCAAACAATGTATTCATGACAATAATTATTTGTTCAGTCTAGGTATTTCCATTGTATATTATACGTGTATTTCCATAAATAATGTATTTAAGAATCAGTTGTTTAGTACCCATAGAACTCTGCTTACATAGGGGGAAGGGGATTGTACTAGGGATGTGTCTAGTGCCCCCATTGCTATGTTAATTAATCACGATGGATAAACTGACCAAGTCTCATGTTCATCTTACCATTCTCCACCGGCCAGTGTAAACTGTTGGCGCAGGCGGGTGAACCTTTCCATTATCATCCATAAAAATAAACTCTGCTTAGATTGGGACTAGATGGAGCAGTGTGAAATGTCAAGTTATTACTAATGATATAATGATTAGAAAGTAATCACCTATAATCATGTTGATCTCTCTCTAGCTCAGCTACTCCGGAGTCTGCCGGGGACGGCGCGGGCGCCGGCTCCTTGCTGTCTGCGCCGCTCAGCACAGAATTTGACTTCGTCCTGTAACAGAATGCAGAATTATCCACTACTATAATAATTATTATACACTCGTATTTAGAATGCAGAATGAGGTGTAAGACCGACGCATAATCTGGGGTCTTTAAATAGTTCTTATAACGCGACTAGACTATGATAATAGGAGTTTCTTAGTAAAATATCACTAAATAATATTTATTACTAAGCATAGGTAGATTGATGTGTGTGTGTTATTTATTATCTATACTGTGTAATATAAAATTGAAAGTGTGTTTGTTACCTTTTAATGGCTAAATGACTGAACGGAGCCTAATGAAAAATCTTACATAAAGATACATATCACGACATCTATATCCATATCTGCAATATATTCGCTATATATTTTATATCAAAAAAAAACAAAACAAATATTATTATCATTTAGTACCTACTGCCCTCAAACCACATATGTACTTACAAGCATTAGTACGGATGTAAAGGCTGCTACCAAATTGTCATTTAGCACCTCATATATTTGAACAGAGTTACACACATGTATCTACACTATACCCACAGTAAATGTCACGAAATCATTAACCGAAAATAAAATCGTGACTGATGTACGTCTCTAAAATGATAACATGTTCACGCGTGCATAATATTCTTCGGCAATACCACGTATTGCTTCCAAATATTCGCGCCCACCCACAACCTCACGTCGTTCAGAAACAGGAATGCCAACTGTATGACGATCCTAGTATACGAGACTTTTGATCTTCGGTATGCGGATATTTTCATTGTAGAATGATTTTGTACGAAATTTTGACATACGAAATACGGTGTTAGAGAGCTAAACCGAAAACCAATATAGGAGATTTTTTATACCAATATAGGATCTTCAAGAAAAGAGTTTATTCCTTCTTAAAAGGCAGGCAACGCACTTGCATTTCCATGGTATAGCGGGTGCCCATAGGCGGCAGTAATCATTTACATCGGCGAGCCGCAAGCTCGTTTGACCCTATGTTAGAAGAAAAAAAAGACTAGAGGTACTGCAAAAATTTCATCTACGTGAGTACATCAGTTCACCTATTTCAGCCGCCAAGCAGCTTGCTTGTAAGCTGTGTTTCGGTTGTAGGGTTCAGAATAAGCAGTGAACAAGATAAGAGACATCTTAGTCTTCTGGCAACGCAGATGTAGCATATCCCGGATCTCACATGACAATGTGATGTCCCCGGGCAGCTCATGTATATCGAAGAAGGTTACCGCTTACCAGGTGAACCGTCAGCTTGTCATTCCAATTACATAAAAAATGTCAGATTTATGACTTCATGTTACGGGGTTAAATGTCTTGAGGTTGGTAACCCTGTTCAATACAAAAGTTATCGCCATTTCTCATTGGCAGCTTATCTCGCCTTAACGTTTGTCCACTTTGTAAATTGCACCTCTCAATGGCCTTAAAATGGTTAAAAACATTTCAATTTTCTTTTATTGGTTCGTTCACATGGTTTTTATTAGCATTCGCTGCGTGAATATCTAATTTCTTGAGAACGACTCGTATTTTTTAGGCTATTATTTATGTGAAATAGACAAATAAGTGAAATATTTAATAGCAATATAACTTCTAGTCTAATCAACCTCCATGCAGTTCTCTACTGAAGCTGTGTCCAATTTCATCTAATTGACCTGATATAATACTTGTTCTTTAATCCTTAACGTATCCTGTCACTGGAGACGAGTTTATATTACGATATCATCCTTGAAAACTTATGATGGAGTAATTAAATATTAAACCTATACTGTCATGGACATCTGACAATTACACTTGACGAACTAATATGCGTTGTTATTGTATTTGTCTGCTGTAATCTATTCTTTTTGAGAAAAATCAAGCAGTTGGAAGTTTAAATATTAAATAATAGAAATAGTAAATAATTTAAATAATTAATTTTGTTTTAAGAACTGACACAATATAGTCTATTTCTTTACTTTATGGCTTACAAACAAGCAATCATAATGTTACCGCCAGGTATATGTTCTACACGTATATGTTATATGTAATGTACGTACCGTAACTGTGTTGTAATTTCTCTAAAAAACCTTTCCAGTTGGACTACTTCAAGTTGTGTTTAGTAGTTTAAGAGTACGGTACCTGCAGGTGGTTGGTATGGGCGAAATAGGGCTGGCAAAGAGGACCTAAACTATCACATACTTTGATATTGATAAGGTCTAAGAACTTAATTTAAAAAGAACCCAATGTTTTTGTATATAAAAATAGAACTATATAAGAGAACAGAATCTAAAAATTGACCAACGTATAATAAAGGATAACAGCGGAAAGTAAGGTACCATACCTACCAAGTTTTGGGTAGGTCAGGTGCATGTACACCATTCTTACTCTTACTCCACAGTCTAAAAAACCTAGATTTTGCTAATTTCTCTGTCCTATCGACAGCCCTACAACAAGGTAACCGTCTCGCACCAGGGCCTGTCTTGCTCCGGCGGCGAAGCGTAGCGTACCTTCTGGCTTGGATCCTAACTTCATCCATCATTATACTTTTGAATTTCAAATAGTCAAGTTTTTTATTCGCCTATACGTATTATTAACTTAACACACTTCTCTGTATTTAATCGCCAGTTTTAGCTATCGTTCGTTTTTTTGCTAATTGTGATACGTGATATATCCATTGGTTTGTATAATGGATGTAGGTAGATATTTAATGACAATGTAAAATGTAAAGAAGTCTATAGTTTCACATTGTTCCTTAAAAAAATAAAGTGAGTGTCAATCGTAACAAACTTACCATGATTCTGAGAATTACAGAGTATAAAATTACATATATCTAATGACGTAATGTAAACATTACAAAACAATATGTCAAATCTACAGACGAATATCTTCACAGATAAACCAATGATTTTTTAACTATCAATAAGATATCGTCAACATTTAGGAATCTGTTGCTAATACGAATTCTAGATTTGCATGACTGTAAAACGAAATTGATCTTGATTAAACTATTATTAGTCATATTAAATAGATTTTGACCTAGTTGTGAAAAGTGGGAGTTCTATTGCTGGCAATTAATCTCAATAGCCTGTAATAACTAATTAGGCCAAATCCTCTATACTAGATATTCCCTCGACATATTTTAAACAGAATATAACCACCCACTACCATCCTAATTTTAGCACAAGCCTCATGAAATTTTGGATAAACGTACAAATTGAGGTGGAGAAGCATTGTATTGTATGTTGGACTCCATTTTCCGCAATTGGCCTCTCATTTGGGCCGTTGTGCGTGTAGAGCCAGGCTACTAACGTAGCCAGCCAAGCTCCTCCCAGAAGCGCAGAAGTTTCCTGGTGTCATGTTCACGGAGCGATCTAACCGTTCTGAGGATTTGATTGGGTTGTGTGGTCACTGCTACGCACTCCAGGATTATGTGAGCGGCCGTTTCCTCGGCTACAAAGCAGCCCCGGCACAGCGGACTGTCTGTAGCACCTATTGTGTACAGATGTTTGTTTAAGGGATTGTCCCTATCATTATTTTTATGTTTATTTATGTTGTGCCTGTCCAGATTTAGTAGGCGTTTTGTCATTCGTTGATTAGTTCTAGGAATTGCCACTTTTGATTGTTTGTTTCCATCTGGTGGAGAAGCATAACACGGATGCAGTTGCGGCCAAAAACTAGTCTTTACATAATGGAATAAAGGAACGTGACTACGAGTACTATTTCTTATTTATGATTTGTGTTTAATTTGGCTACCGTTATCGCAATATATATGATCTAGATGTTCAGTAAATTATGGAAATGAATTGATGATTGCGTATAGATAGAGTACAACAGCTGGAAAGTGGATTCGTTACGGTCACTTCGCGTGTTTCTTATGCCATTGTAAATCTGAATAATTCGCTATGTTGAGCAGCGTCGTATTTGGCTTTCCCTTTTGTGATTTCCATTCATAATTATTTGTTCATTCATTGAATAATTTCTATTTATTCTACTTAATGTCTGTTCACTTTATTGTTAATTGGTTGTTGACCGGTTGTTTTTGCGATGTCTACTGCCGTGTTGGTTCCTTGATTCCTAGTATTAGTACTATACTAAAATCGTCATGATTGAAGTAGTTATTTTTTGAGAAATCCAATCTATATTCAATCACTTAATCACTATTATGTGACTGTATGGTACCAAGAAATTCCAAAAACTGGAATATATACTATCTGTCTATAGGAAAATCTTAAGTAGATACTTCTGGAAAGACTACTACTACTACTATCTAGATTAATACAAGAATGTTATTTAATCACGCAGAAATAGCTCAAGGAATTTGAATGTAACTTAATACGAAGGTGGATCATATTCTTTACTAGCTATTTCCCGCGCGTTCCTCTGCTTCTTATAGATAAAAGATAGCCTATGTCCGTCCTCGTGTTATCTCGTGTTCATCAGGTTCTTTTCAGCCATTTATTTGTGAAAAGGTAACAAACAGACAGAGACATACTTTCGCATTTCTAATATTAATATGGATTACCACTTACGAGTAGGATCATCTGTATCCTAATAAATGTATGAAACTTATAAATGTTTAAATTAGTTGATACCATCACTACTATTGGGAGAGAGAGAGAGAGAATTCATCATCTGCTTCTTCCTTATCCCATTTATTTGTGGTCGGCGTAATATGTTTTTCTCTTCCTTTCATCTCTGTTCTCAGTCATCGCGTTATATATTTCCTTTCTTACCATATCATCTTTCACACAGTCTATCCATCTTTTTCTTTTTTCGGCTTTCCTCTGCCCTTATAACCATCCACATTCATATGTAACAGGGAGAGAGAGAGAGAGAGTATTGTACTCACAATACTCACACGATTTGTTCTAGTCTTATTAGTGGTAATATTACTTTGAGGATTAAAGGTCCCATTGCTTGGTATTTATGTTAGGTCAACCTATACGCGTTCCTCATGAAAACCTGTCGTGTCGGTCACAGTGTGTTAACTGATTCGACTGACTTCTTCTTTCTTATAATAACTGTTAATGGAGGATATATATTTTAAGAATAATAACTGTTATCTGATTCTTATAATATCATCCTCCATTAGTGCTCCGCTAGCGTAGCGCAGACCTAGTACATTTCCTTCAATTATAAAAAAAATACTAGTGTAATATATTATCTGTGGTGTTACTACTATATAGCAATAATGGTGTTATTGTAAAATATGCAAATCAGATGGATGCGTGCAGGCAACGGAGCGCGCTTCCTGCGTTCATCTCTGCAATATACTATTGTACTCTCAGAGAAGGTTGCGACGATTAAGGCTAAATCTTCATTAGTACAATATCGCAATATGACACACAAAATATTACATATTTATATATAACTAGCTGTCACGGCAAACGTTGTTTTGCCTTAAAATAAAAAAAAAAATTAGGGGTGGACTACCCCTAACATTTAGGGGGATGAAAAATAGATGTTGGCCGATTCTCAGACCTACTTAATACGCTCACAAAATTTCATGAGAATCGGTCAAGCCGTTTCGGAGGAGTATGGGAACGAACACGAGAATTTTATATATAAGATATAAATTATGATTATTTTGTCATACTTGAATATACTCTGGATTTATCTAACTGTACACCAAAACCTAAGTTAAGATGGTTTCTTCATAAAAACTTTCATTTTCTACTCTCTTCAACATACGGTACAATATCACGACGTAAACAATGCAATATGTGCTTCGTTAAGAAACTCTCTTCTTGTATACAAAAAACCGATTAATTAATCGGTTTTGCGGTTTATTCCTGAATACATAACAAATAAACAGACAAATAAATAGAATTACCTAGTTTAACATTTAGTATGTTAGATATAGATTGCTGAATGCTGACTTATTTAAAAAAAGATACAATAAGATTTCTTATAAGTTTAAGAGGAATATTATGAAATACTTAAAGTAATTCAATTTGGTATTTACAAATATTATAAAGAGAAATATATCATTTTCGTTTGAGTTATATTACAATATTAATTAACTCAAATATTTGGAATTATGAGCAAGACAACTCTAAACACTTAATTTTAAAGTCGAATTAAATTTTTTGTTATTGTTGAGTTGATGCCTTAAGCATGGGATATATACCTAATATACATATACAGCGAGTAACACGGGCTCTGCTACGCGAGCGGGGTTGTGGAAGACAGCCATTTTCGAATCGATTAAATCTAGACTAATCTAAATCTAATCTAGACAAGCTAACTCGGATTAACCTCGAGAATCGAAATTGCATAAACTGAATAATGAGAGGAAATGCAGCTGTAAGTGGTGCATAGCTGATAATAAATCGAACGGAAATCGCTCGCCTCTGACTATACATAGTATTGTTTTGTAATCAAATCATGTAATGATAATGACTATTGTTTGTCTGTAATACATTTAAATTATATGTGTATTTTAGCAATAATACACTGGACAGAATGAATTTGCATATCAAGTTGAAATAGGAAACAAAAGAGAGAGAGACAGATAGTGGTTTTTTTATAATTCATGATGATGGTATGGTGCAACCGCCTACGCTAGCTGTTATACGCTAACAAGGCACTAGTTTAGGATAATACGATATTAACAACAATCTGCAGATTTTGCCGAAGCTGAAGAGGAAACCTCAAACTACACATCCTATGTGGAATTAATTTTATTTTTTAATAGCGTAGAGGACCAAAGACCTTGCGGCCCACATTATAGAATAAGCTCTTTTCTTGAAGTTTTTAATATTGTTGGAAGGTGATTTCACAATGTGATTGTACATGCTAAAATTCACCAGAAATTATCAGGATAGTTTCCAGGGGCGTGAATATCAACTTAACGTGGTACATTGCTAGCTCATATAGAGATTTGTATATAATAGTCTATAATAATAGTAATGTATTGTACAGTTCCTAAGATTCATTGTAGAAAAACACAAACTTCATATGATATGTAAGTAGGTCTAGGTCCACTTCGATCGATACTCTGCCTCATTCTAACCCCATTCCAACAAGGAGAACTAACAACGGCTCGAGCTGAGGTTTAAACCACCACTTCGCTTAGATTGAAGTTGTATCTGTCAAACAAACAGGACAGTAACTGATGGTCTTCAGTTACTCCATAATTCTTTCCGTGGGTTTAAAGTGCCCTTTGCACTCGCCCCTATCTTCACATTTGACCTCTTGGTGAAGCTGTTTAGCCCAGCTGCAGGCAATAATATTAGAATACTTCGTAAAAAGTGGTTGTAGGTTTACACATACTAATCTTACATAAATAATAATTAATTAATTAATTATTCTAATATAAAAAATATATGATTTATATTTGTTCACATACTAGAATACTGTACAGTATTCTGGTGAAATCACACTTACCTATGCATATGTAACTTTCACAAAACTTTAAACCGCATCACAATCAACAAATCCAAAATAAGCACGTATGTCATAGAGAACCCGCACTGATCCACCGGTTTTTCATATTAGCAAAAAAAGAAACACTAACTTAGGGAGTGTACACACGTGTCACCTGCCGCCGCGACTGCAAGCGTGTGGCGGCCGACTGTCGCGCGTGCCTACGTCGCCATTACAATGCCGCTTTAATATTCTATAAGGTATTTAAAATTGCTAATGTTCATTTAGATGGAAGGATTCATATTGTTCACATGGCGTTTTATTGAATAAAAAATTGTTTCGTTTTATCGATTTTATACGTGCAATTTAATGTTTTATATTGGTTCTGTTGGTTGTTCAGACACAAACAATTGATAGGTAGGTTATCGAGAAAGATTTTTTTATACGAGAGATACGAGAAATATTTCTATAAACGTAAAAGTGGTAATATTCAATAATGCGTATGTTAAATTTCTTTTTCATTTACCTGTTTAGTTAAATTAGTTGAATTCATTTTAAATATGTAATAAAATATCCTGGATCTGTATTTATGTAGGGTTTCCTATCCTGTCCTATCCCAAATACTTATTATCATAATTACTATAACAATTAAAAAAAAAATAATGTAGGTACAAGTATCAACAGAATTACCTACTGTATGCTTTAAGAAACATATACAAATTGCTTTTGTGCTGAGGTCATAACAATATAGTAATAATAATGTTAACTAAGACAATCTTAGTGGGCAAGGAACGGTGAAGGCTATTTACATCATAGTATAAAATGGTGTACTTGAAAAAATAAGTTACAGATAATAAATTATGAAAATATAACATGAAGCAACATCTTATCGGCCCTGGTATGCACCCATTGAAGAAATCTAAGGTCAGTTACACATTCATGAAGAGTATCTACGGAAACTATAATTAGGAATAAATATATTTATGACATAGCATTTGGCAACAGTTACCGAAGAAAAAAGAAAATAATAACTACTTGTGACTATTATAACTATAAGTGATAAATACGCCAATTGAGATCTGTTTTTGATTAAATTTTTTTAATCAAATGACTGACTGAGTGAGATATGAGTGATTGTCACTCATATCTCACTCAGTCAGTCACTATAAATTCTTGGTGAATTTGTCACGATGGGCAAAATGACCTCACCTAATGTTCATTTTATCATCCTCAACTGGTGCCCCGCCAGGGTAGACCGTTAGCGTAGGCCGGTGCACCATTCCATTATCATTCATAAAAAAACCCAGGAACATTATTCTAACACGCATTTACATATGTCTGAAAATTACTCTAATTAAAAAAAAAAATTTACTATTGCATTATTTATTTACAACTTTATTTTTTAAGATAAACTTTCTAGTTCAAAATCGAAGAATTTGTCCCGTTAAAATTTATAGGAACAATATTATAATAAAATTTTTTGAAATTTACATCGGAAGCTTTGACTAGTATTACAGTGAAGTTTTGAGAACGTTTACTATATATTCCCGTTTCCCTGAGAGAATGTAATGCAGCCATCAATGTGATCAACTGCTCAACACGCGTGTACACGCATGCTGTCGCTAATAACTCTAATTACACAGTTTAGTGGACATCGGGTGTCTAATGAGTCATTCACATTTCTGTCATGCTTCTTGTAGACATGTCTGTTATACGTTAGAACATCCAATCATATCTGTTGCAAATATGTTTCATTTTATAATTATAGCATCGGCTTTTGTATAGTGTACAAGTACCTTTTTGTTCGTCGTTGGAAAGCTTTTGTATTAATTTAGTAAAAAATCAATATCTATATCTATATATCAAACTCTTTATTGTCCTCTTACGGAAAATATAGTTAAATACACAATAATAAACAAGAAAAAGAGGTAAAGCCGGCTGAAAAAAAAATATGTTTACATTCTTGTAATTGTATAATATCAGACAGACAGTCATGACAATTTAATGATGTTAATTCTAAGTCATTTGATAGAGATTATCCAAGTTATATCAAAACATCTTATAAATATTTAACATAAATAATACTTTTTTTTATATTTGCATGCTGCGTGGATATATGTATATATAGTCATAACATAATTATACTGTTAGGTACCAGGGTCAGTAATAAAAAGAGATCCCTATAATAATTGCAGCCGTGCAAAGCTTAGGCGCGTTACTAGTACTTAACAAAAAAGTAATATGTAAGTACTTACACGATAGCGGAATGGTGACGTTGGTGAAGCGGAGCGGAGAGCGTAGCGGGCGGCAGAGCGGACAGGGACGCTGGCTGCGGCGACCCACACCAACGCGCTTCCCGTACATCTGAAGAACCTAACATTATGTAATGTAAATGATAACATATCATCATATTAATAGCAAAATAAACAGGATTTAATATAAGTAAATAGACAATTAAGATAATATGATACGTAAAGGAATAATGTTCTTTTTAAATAATAATACTCGTCAGTCTGTTTATTTTTAAGCTCAACAAATATTTCTATGCTAAACTAACATTCTAAACACTAACTTAGTTAATCTTTAATTAAATTAAATATGCAAATAATAGGCTAATATTTGAGTTTTCACATTTAACTAGCTGATTCACTTCTTACTTTAATTTTTTTGCAACCTATGTAATTGCAGCTCCCACTTGGTCGGAGCATGATGTTATACAGCCTTTAACATTCCTTGATAAATGAGCTATCGGATTTGTAATATCGGAGTTTACCTCGACCATCCAAACACATTACCAATACGTCGCGTCATTATAATGTATTAGTATAAATAATCATGTTTAAAACTAAAATAAAGGGAAAAGCCTATTATTACTCACAAAACGATTACTTAAATTACAAACGTGCATGACAATAGTTGTTCATGTACGGGATTTTCATTTAATGTTAGACTTAGATATTTATGTAAGTACTATACAATGTAAATAAATAGGCTTAAAAAAATATTGAATTTTCCTGCCAAGTCTTCTCAATGGAATCTGTATACTGAACTGGATGTAGAAAAAAAATTTAATACAAAAAACTTGACATTCCTAAGCGCCTAAAATGTTTTACATGTGTAAATGATTTTTGATTTTGAATAAACTTAATAAAATCATCTTAACAAATACGGTCTGTATATATACGAGTATATGTATCATGAATCGATGTCAATAAATAAAGTTTAGTAGGTAATTACTTACTACCATACAGAGTCATGTGTGAGGGCGGTCTGCTTGCCAGAACTGGCGTGGATCCATACCGCTCTCCGCCCGCAGACAGACGTCCACCGAGCGGCTTGAACGCTATCGGACGGATTACCGATTTTCCCTGTAACAAATAATTAATATTATATAGAGCGGTGTATGTATAATTAACATTATGGACATGAATTGAATGTGACTATAACTATATAACTTTAATGCGTGGTATTGTAGAAAAAGTAGCGCTATATTTGTCTGGTTTAATACCATGCGGTATTTTCTACTAAGTGCCTAAACATAGGATAATTGTTGGCGGTGTAAATATATGAAATTGATATTAGTAACAAAGAAATCAGTATTGCATTATTTGCACAGCTTTTTGTGAAAAGAGAAAAACGAATAATTATTTTTCATACTTGTGGGGTTTATATCTGCTTAGGAATATCTACAATTGAAATTTAGAAGATCTTTGAATAATAGAGATTTTTTTAAAAATAGTATAGATAGGATCTTCTGATATATGTCGCATTATTCTCAAGTACAGAATAATATTTGAATTTTTTAAACTTTCGTGTTTAATATACATTATTTATATTATTATCAGTTAGCTCGTGACCACGGCTAGTGCAACCTAGTCGAAACGTTGAGAGAGGTAAATAACTTTATTTGCCATAAAATTAGTTCGTTTTAAGACCCGGTTAATAATAAATAACATTTGAAATTCGTTTTAAACGTTATAATGAGAAAAAAACTTAAATACACCTAACAAAAAAATTACAAAATCATGTATGTAATAGACGTTTGTATTCTCAGCGTTCACATCATTGCAATAAACAAAAACAATACACACTTCCTTATATCTACGTGAATTCTGCATACATACTTTACGCTATATCTTATACACAATGTCCATACCAAATACAATTTATCTATTCATCAAGCGTAACGAATTCTGCGTGAGATGGAACAACATGTTGGTACTTCTCTCCGTAAACGCGTGTCCGATTCGGTATTCAGGAATGGTTTTTACGCAGTGCCCTCGACAGTTTACAAGGACTTAAGTGAGTATATGACATCCGATCTGATGTAAAGTGATAATTCTGTTTCGACAAACAAAGCAGTAATTACAAGCTCTTCAAATGCCATTTGAAGTCCCACAAGTCAGGTTGCCGCAGAAACCCCGTCCAATTCAAATAGAAATAGAAATTATGATGGACTAAGACAAGGTTCGATAGCCATAGGATAAAGTCGTATCCATCAGGCAAGAGTTGGCCTTCAGCCGTTCCATAAGTCCTACCGCAGGTTTGGAGTGCCATCTGCACTCGCCCACTATTGTTCGGTTAAGCTGTAAAAGCCAGCTGCGGCCAACAGCATTAGATTAGTCCGAAAAAAAAATAGATGATCTTTAATAACTTATAAGTGAATTTTAATTCACGCTGATCTGCAAACTTGTCTGCGTGGGTACCTATGAATCACTTTTTTTAGTCGCAAAGCAGCTAGCTGTTTTTGAAGCTGGCAGTGAAGTTAAAGTGTACGTAGGAATGATATTAATAGGGCGTTTATTACTAATTTGGTACGATGAGGTAATTAATAACTCTAAACTAATCTATATCCTGATATATTAATGTTGATCGGAAGCTACTCGTATATAAATGTACCCTATACAAAGTACAATAGTGATCTTTTATTCAAAATGGTAATGAAAAGAATAGAATAGAAAATTCTTTATTTAAATAAACTTAAATTTAAGCACTTTTGATTAGTCATATATATTTTAATCTTCCGCTCAGTCGGAAAGCTGTAACAAGAAGAACGAGTAAGAAACTTGCATGTTGTTCTTTTAAACAATTGTTGTAACTTTACAACAAATATAAACTACCAATTAGCACTAATTTATTAGAGTGAAAATATTAATGTGCAATAATAACAATGAAATGACTTTTATAATGTCAATTTAGAATAACGATAATGCTCGTAATGAAGTTCATAGCGGTATAGTAAATCGTTATTAAATATGTTATAGTAGTTAGAACATTTCGGCAGCCAAGTTAATAGACGTTTTGTACTTATCTCGTTGCAAGTGCACGGATTTGACATTTCAGTACGCAACACGCAACGAAATGTCACGCTGTAACGGAAAGGTCAATACGGTTTTACGACATGACATAAGGATGCGCTGCGTACTGTTATCGTTAAATTGTATGGTAAGCAAAGAAACATTAAAAGAAGACATCCCACACGACAAACGGTACAATGAAATGGAGATAAATGCGATGATATCCCTATATAATCATGAAAATGGTCTGTTATTCGAATTACAATCATATTAATATATGTATTTAAGGTATTTGAAATAGGTGAGAGAGAGGTATCTACGACTACTACGACTTTCTATTTCTTTTTACGCGATTTAGACATATAAAGTCAATTAAAAAAAAATACATTACAACAATTAAAAAATACGATAGGCAATGCAATTTGCATGACTGACTAACATGACTACAAGAAATATATATATATATATAATTGAAATTTCATTAAAAAACGAACAAACGAAAAATAGTACCGGTAATTGCGATTTGTTTACGTAAAGCCACAATAGCGTCTGATCAAGTGGTCGGCTACGGATCATTTAGTTAATGTAACCTACACGAGGTTTACTAACAAAGTTTAGCGGTCTACGGTAATACAGAATTTATGAAAACTTTTATCTTACTATATATATATACGAGATTATATAAATATTATCTTACTAATATTATAAACGCGAAAATTTGTGAGTATAGATGGATGGATGTTTGTTACTTTTTCACGCAAAAACTAATGAACGGATTTTGATGAAACTTTACAGTAATATAGCTTATACGTGAGAGTAACACATAGGCTATAATTTAATAAGATATTATATAAATCGGGTGAAATATAATGAGAAATATCAAGTAAGTGTGATGGAGACGAAGTTGCGGGGTCAGCTAGTTATTTAATACATTTTTGAAGTATCTATATTTTTTAAATATTACATAATAGGTTAAGAACTACAGTGATTGTGCTCGTTTATTTTAGTTTGCGACTTACGTCTGTCAATGGCAGAAATTATAAGATTTTTATCTCCACCGGATATAGCATATTTTTCAAAGGAGGTATTATATTCGTGCTTTAATTGAACTGAAGTGACTATAACCACAGATGATTTGTTTGTTTAATAAATGTTTTGGTTAAAGTTAGTTAGACATATTCTTATTTAGTTTGTAAGGTCCTTGTCATAAGCTATATATTATTTTTACTCAAGAGCAAAAGTCTTTTTATGAAATGTACATATAAATTACTAGATGTTATTTTAGAGTACTTTCATTTGAATGTAAGTATAGTAGTAGGATGGTTATAGTAATAGTATATCTTTATATATATAAAACGAAGTCGCCGCCGCTGTCTGTTCTTATATCTTTTAAATTACACAACGGATTTTAATGTAGTTTTATCAATAGATAGAGTGATTCAAGAGAAAAGTTTATATGTAAAATACCGCATGATAATACATGCGGTATATACATATAAACTTTTCTCTTAATTTGTTGTACTATAGAACAAACCGAGAAATTCATAGATTTATAATAGAAGCTGGAATGGGTCGCTAGTATAGGTATAACTGAAAGCTCTTATGCAGCCACAGATACTAACTTACTAATACTAATTTATTGTATGTTGTTCCACGAATATTTCCTGTTATTGTTCATGCGGTGATATCTTACTGACGTGTAACTAACATACTGCTGCACCGCGTGTGTTTGTAGGTTAACCGTGACAAGGTCTTGCAAGCTGTACTGACATGACACTACGAGCTTAGTTCGATAAACCCAAGTGATAGACTGCAGCGGAAGTTATTTTACTTAGGACTTTTGTAAAGGCCTCAGTGGTCGAGCGGTTTAGCAAATTGCTTTAATTCCGATGGTCGTGGATTGGATTTCTTGCACGGTACAAATATTTATATACATAAGTATGATTGTTTGTATCGGTCTGGGTGTTTTGTATGTAATTACAAAAATATATATTATTTATATTTAGTACCCATAACACAAGATCTGCTTAGTTTGGGACTTGATGGTGTTATGTGAACTCTCCAGGTGTAATATTATTATTATTATAAGCTGAAACGCATAACCTCGTCTAATGTACAAACTCTTCAATTAGAATTACAATAATGAAATTATAGGTGTCGTAATCTTATAGTGAATTCTAATAATATAGTTTATAGACTAAGGTTCTTATATAAATTAAATAATGGCGCGCTTAGTAAATAATCATTATTATTTAAATAATGACATTTACTAAGTTTCGGCATTATTTTTATAAACTACTAGCTACTCGCCCCGGCTTCGCATGGTTATACATGTATTAGATATATAAACCATCGTCTTGAATCACTTTATCTATTAAAACCGCATCAAAATCTTTTATTTTATTATATATATATATATATTATATTATATTTTAAAAATTGTTTTATACTATGTAATGATTAAGTAACTCATATTTTTTTTGAGTTCTACGTTTGTTAAACAGGTAAATAAATAAACCCACTTCTTATCACTTGTACCACGCCCTACTTCGTCATCAGACGGAATCTGCGAGCTTGCAATTATTTGTGTCTCCAGCCTGATCCAATATGACCGGATACTAGATTCTGTGTTGAGAATCGAACGGAACGGTTTGTCGTTCGAAATTCAACTTTATGTCTTAGATTTACAGTTACGTCCAACTTCTGTGATTGCGAGGTACTGGTGACATCAAAGTATATATTAATGAGATTGAAAGAACTAATGACAGCTGTATCCTACTCTAATCACGTTCGTGTAAGAATGACATGAATTATTATTAATAGCTATTATTTAGTTGCCTTCATTTTTTCATCAAAACGACCATAAACTTAGTCAATACTGACTGACTGAGGAAATAAATTTGTTTCATAATTCATTTTATATTTAACTTAGATGTCTAATAATCGTAGACAAATGTTAAATTTTAATTTATACAATATGCAAACAGTTAAATACAGAAAAATATTGTTATGTAATTATCATTTAAATAATATACCTACGATTTGTAAGAATAAGGACAGAATAAATCTAA